TAGATATATATATATATAATGTATATTGCACTGTCCAAAAAAAAAAATATGTACAGGTCCAATGCCCAGCAGTCTACTATTTAATTAATAATACTTTTACTTTTTTAACAACTATCAATTTAACCTGTTTTTCGTTTAGCCAAGTATCACCATTTTGGTATTATAAAATGTAATGTGTGTTTGGTGGGAGGAAGCACAGCCTGTGTTTCCAGGACTTGCAGTGTCTAATAACAATGTAATATCCTTGAAAGGAATATAAAGCCAACAGGCATTGTCACATTAATAAAGCCCTGACGTGGGAAGAGACGTGACATGGTGGCTTGTAACTTCCAGCACTTGCGTTGTTTAAATGCATCATAAAGCGAATAATAGAAAGGGAAAGTGTCAGTACCCTGAACAAGGAAGTGTAGAGCACATTTAATTAATCAGACTGACTGCATGCTTGACTGGTGCTCACTGTGGCTTGCTTCTCCCAGAGGGCCATGACTACCACTGCCTACTCTGGAGCATACATTACAATCCCACAAATGTACAGAGTCTTGCAGATCTCTTATTTCCTAGTACATACAGAAACACTAATATGTAAAATTAGAAAATAAGAGAAATCTACATCTCTAGGATCAGAATAAAGTGACACTGAACTCAGGAGTAAATATTAAATATGCATTCTAGTACCTTAACTATTAACAAAAATGTCTCTTACTTGTGTATCACTCAGCTGCAGATCCTCAAATCATCTCTAAATTGGTGCTGACACTGTCCTTCCCTCTGGAGGGGGGCTACTTTTGTTTCCCATGGTCCCTGTGTGTGTTGTAAAGTAGCCACCGATTTCAAGCTCGCTCCGGCAAATGTGCTACAATCTCAATACAAATGAGCTAACTAAACGTGCAATTGTAGTCTATAGCAGGAGTGAGCTTGGAGCGGTGGCTACTTTACAACACACACAGGGACCATGGGGAACAAAAGTAGCCCCCCTCCAGAAGGAAGGACAGTGTCTGCATGAATTCAGAGATAACTTGAGGATCTGCAGTTGAGTGATACACAAATAAGATACATTTATGTTAATAGTTACTGTTCTTGAATGTATTTTTAAGATTTAACTCTTGAGTTTAGTGTCACTTTAGATGTCAAACCTGCTCGTATTACAAAAATAAAAAATGCACTAAAAATATTTTCGTATTATTGTAGTGCAAAAAAAAAAACCCATAAAAATATGAAAAATTATAGGTTTTATATATTTGTACCAGGCAAAGAGGTTTACAGGAATTAAATACACGATGAACTGTTTTACTTGCCAAAGGTTTTGCACAACCCTGCCAGATAGCACAACCAGGCAAATGATACAAATAAATCTGCTGTGTGATGGTAGACTGCAGAGGGGATAGAATGGTGTCCTCTCTCCACACCAGTCTACTGACTGAAAAGTAAGGACTATAAAGAGGTAATCTCCCATTCCTGCCATATTCCCTCCCACTATGGGTTTTGCTCAAAAGGGGATTGGTATAGACCAGCCTTTGTTAACCAGGGTGCCATGGCATCCGGGGCACCATCTGGATTCCTCAGGAGTGCCTCAAAATGTTTGCACAGTGTAATGCCTTTTCATGGTGCAGACAGGCCATGGAAATGAATGATGCTAATCCAGGAAGGGTGGGATACATTGAGAAAAGGAAGGCGGTTTGACTCCGTTCAGGCCTCTGCCATGCTGCTGCAGTGTTTGGTGTGATGGTAGGAATCTGATGTAAAGTTAAATTGAGGACTCTGATGTGAAGGGGGTTTCTGATCTGAAGGAATAGTCAGTGTACCCATTGCACTCCTTACCGCTAAATCCTTGATGAATGGGTTGGGTGCATCAGTAGTCGACGGATGGCCACCGTCCAGGCAAAGTATAAAGAGTTATGGACACCGGCACTCCAAAGTAGAAAAACGTCTTTTATTGACGCATCATGCAACAATACACTTATTGCAACGTTTCGGGGTCACACAGGATCCCCTTCATCAGGCAGAACAAGTGACATCTCCCTTCATCAGGCAGAACAGTGTTCTGCCTGATGAAGGGGATCCTGTGTGACCCCGAAACGTTGCAATAAGTGTATTGTTGCATGATGCGTCAATAAAAGACGTTTTTCTACTTTGGAGTGCCGGTGTCCATAACTCTTTATACTCTGATCTGAAGGAGGCTCTTGATGTAAAGGGGGAACTCTGATGTGAAAAGGGGGCTCTGATATGAAAGGGGGCTCTAATGTAAAGGAGTGTCTCTGATGTGAAAGGGGGCTTCTGATGTTAAAGGTAGGCTACTGATGTAATGGGGGCTTCTCATGAGAAAAGGATTCCTGATGTGAAGGGGGGCTCCTGATTCGAAGTAGGGACACTCATGTGAAGGGGGATCCTCACTTTTTTGTATTTTATATTTTTAATGTAGATGTTTTCCATAAAGTTTATGTCTGGGCAAAATATAAAGAGTATACCTCTGCAATACATGCACATTTCCCCATGTTTTGTTTCTTTAAAAATGCTGCAAGGCCAGATGAATACCTGATTATCTGCCAGAAATACAGTGAGCTCTTATATGCCTGAAGTGAGCTGACAATGCTGCACGGAAATCGCAAGCAGTATTATCATCTCTGTCTGGGCCCTCCCTTGCTGGACTATTGAACACATTCCCCTTATGTAGCTAACGAGAGGAGATGTGTTGTAGTCCGCAGATGAGAACTGGGCAGAGCTGATTGCACTACTTGGGATTTCAGACCAGCATGGTCAGCAAAAACAGAAAGTTAGGAGCAAATTGTATTTCTGGCAGATCATCAGACTGTTGTTCTGTACTTGCAGCATTTTTTAAAACGATAAAAACTTGAGAAGAGTGCATGTACTGGGGAGATGTGCTGCATATGAGTTTCTAGTTTTGCATTCCATTCAAATAGCAGCAGGAAACAGTAACACAGCCCTGACACCTGATAAATACCTGTGAATGCTTTGATACCCAGTGACGCAGAACATTCAGCACACGGTTTGTAGCTGCTCGGCGTATTATAAACTCTTTGTCGCACATCCTCTCCATGTTGTTAAAACCTTCAGGAATAGAAGAAAAAAAAAAGAACAAAGATAAATGTCACAGATGATGTAGAATGTGTCACAAGCAAACATCGACTCTCATTTCAAGGATGTCAAGTTTAACACAAGCTTTATCGATAAAACAATCACTAGGCATAATTCCATTTAGACATTTCCGTCAATGGATGGACACACATTCATCCCCTCCGTCTTTTCATTTCAATGTTCATGTTGCCGTGTAGCAGACAAGCCCGCTATTAGATGTCCAATTTTATTACAGAACAAGTTGCCTTTGTACTGACAGTAAGAAGTGAGCACAAGAGACGACTAAACTATGATGTGCTGTACCATACTTGCTTTATTGTGGCTTTCCAATAAATTTCCCCAGTGGCAACACTCTATTATTGCTAGAACAAGACACTGGTAATAGGATCGCTGATAACAATTACATCTAAACTAACCTAATTTGTAGGACAAGATTAATGTTACAAACAGTCTTTACTACTTGGATAAAAAGAACAAATGAGTATTCCACAAAATGTAAGTTAAAGTGACACTAAGCTCAGGAGTTAAATCATAAAAATACATTCAAGTCCCTTAACCATTAATAAAAATGTATCTTATTTGTGTATCACTCAGCTGTAGGTCCTCAAATCATCTCTGAATTGGTGCTGACACTGTCCTTCCTTCTGGAGGGTGGCTACTTTTGTTCCCCATGGTCCCTGTGTGTGTTGATATGTAGCCACCGCTCCAAGCTCACTCCTGCGATGGACTACAATCAATACAATACAAATAGTAAAATAAATGTGAGATTGTAGTCCATCACGGGAGTGCTAATTTAGTCAACTATTTCGTCCTAGTTTTAATCAATAAAATTTTTTCACTGACTAAAACAAAATAAAAACTAACAGGGTTATTCACAAAAGAAGAGTTTGGAGAAGGCAGGAGAAGTGAACAATCTAGGACAACATATCTGAACTGGAAAACTTTGGAATTTTTCCAAATCAGCTATGTTGGCCTATTTTGTTCACTTCTTCAAACTCTTCACCCTTTTGTGAATAACCCTGTTAGTTGTGGTGACTAAAACTATAACGAAAATGTATTGACATTTTCGTCAACTGACTAAAACAAGACTAAAATGTTAGAGAGGAAATAATTTGGCAGAGATTCAATCAGAATGAATCTCTTTGGACTTAAATCTGTGCTAGTTCAAATCTTAATACCATAAGTAATAACAGGCTAATAGATGTTTACTCCAGGAGTATATAATGAGATTGGAAATTCTTAAATAGTGCATTACACTTTAACTAACTTTAACTTTAATTCTACTGTAGATTTAGTCGACTAAAATCTTTTAAAATTTAGTCGACTAAAACTAAACTAAAACAATTCAGATTTCTAAAATGTGACTAAAACTAAATGGTATTTTAGTCAAATGACTATGACTAAAACTAAATCACAGTGCCTACTTTACAACACACAAAGGGACCATGGGGAACAAAAGTAGCCCCCCTCCAGAAGGAAGGACAGTGTCAGCATGAATTGAGACCCCATTCACACTGAGCTACAAGCTTTTTCAGCGCTGCTTTGAGCTGAGCGACATTGAGCTACAGTGCACATTTTGTCGCACTACGTAGCGCTTCTTTTGGCAGTCTATCAAAGCCTATTGGGGCCATATCGCACAAAATCCGCTGGAAAAATAGGTCTTGTTCGAGCGACAAGCTTGAGCTACAAGCTACAGGAGACATTGAGCTGTCTGTAAGATGTGAACAGCTCCATTGAAATGCATTGCACGAGCTACATTGAGCCACATTGTGCAATATTTGATTGATTTTTGATCAGAAATCGCGCTACAAATCGCTCAGTGTGAATGGGGTCTCAGAGATGATTTGAGGCTCTATAGCTGAGTGACACACAAATAAGATAGATTTTTGTTAATAGTTAAGATGGAACTTAATAAGTGGCTCTGAGGCTGGTGTCGGAAGGAGGGCTCTGGTTTCCTGGAGAACTGGGCTGACTTCTCAGTCGGCTACTGGCTCTACAGCCGAGACGGGCTGCATCTAAATGGGGAAGGTGCAGCATTTCTGGGGGGAAAAATTGTTAAAAGACTGGAGGAGCATTTAAACTAAATAACGGGGGGAGGGCATAAACATAAATAAATTAAATAATGAACAAATTAACACAGGGAAAAACAATATGAAAGGGAGTAATACAGGGGATAAAGGGGGGCTCGCTCCAGTCAATAACAACTTCAACAACAAAATCAACATAGATAACATAGCTAAGGTAGCAAATTGTATGGGCGAAGTTAAACAAATTAGAAATGATCCACCTATATCTAGGCAAAATAAAAAACGTAGCAGAGAGCCAGATAATATTTTGTATTTTTCCGAAAGTAGGTCAAAAATTAAATGTATGTACTCCAATGCTAGAAGTAGCATTCTAGTAGAAATAGCATGGAATTGCAGGCGGTACTACATGTTTAAAATAACGACACAGACACCAAACTATTTGAAAAAAAAAGAACACACTACAAAAGGCTATAACCAAGTGTATACCATTAGGGAACAAAATTAAAAACTGCGAACTTGCGCTTCCAGACATGGACCCCAACATCTTTCAACTAGCATGACACTGTCGTCAACTATTCCCCATTTATCTTAAGTCGTCGCTCCCCCCCCCCCTTTTTTTTGCTGTTTCCCCCTCTTTTGCCCTCCTACCTTTCATTCCTTCACACCTAGTGTCTTTTACCCTGTGCCTCCTGGCTTCCTTTGCCTTCTTCCTTCTTGCTATCATTTCAATACTTACTGATATTCAACTTCAGTTTCTATGCCTTTGCCAGAAGCCCAAGCTTTGCCACAAGCCTACCTTTGTGTGCTGGGTTGCAGACGTAGTCAGTTTTACACTACGCTTTCACACATGCCGGACTGTCGTCCGAGCACATACCTTATAATATGTTCAAGCGAGCTTCAATATCAAGCATGTTATGAACGTATGTACTTTGTAACCTATTCTGGAGCTACCTGACATATATTGTATGTTTTACTATGCTCAATAAAAAAAAACAAAGAAAAACAGTCAGTTGCCAACACTACAAGATCACTGATATTACGTAGTTTATGCGCTCATGTTGATCTAGCGAGTTATATGCTATAGTCAATGTAATTTGTTTGTACTTGTTAAGGTATAAGCTCCTGAGTTTATGGTCACTTTAAAGGACAGGAATATTTTACCATTACCGGTGTTTACACACGTATACCCACCTACATCATTTTATGGACAGAAAAATGCAGCAGTTGGAGCTCCTAGGTGCCTCAAATACAGACATATTTTATGTTGTATGTATATACACTTGTATCTGAGCCCTAAAAGCCTTACATTTAATAAAGAAATTAAATGAACTGCAGTAATGAAGGCAGCAAGAAGACAGCAATCTGCGAAGTATGTTTATTTTCATCCATGCTGCCTTGTAAAAACTGGGAGACAGTGTAAATAAAGAGGCGAGCTGACAGGAGGAAGTTGAGCGCCTAGATACCAATATTCTGCGAACATCTGCAACAGAAGCTGCAATTAAATGGCCCAGTCTGTTATCACCTATGCCAGAAGATGACAGTGATTATATGTCATCACACCTAAAGGGATTATTCATTGCTGCTCTTAAGGTTACTGCTAAACTGATATGTATATAAACAGATCCCAGACAATGTATGTCTTGCCTTTCCCTGCAATCATCCTAATTATAATGTAGTTTGAAGCAGACAGAAATTATACTCTTTTGGCCCTAGCTTGCAATTATAATGAAATTTCTATAACCTGGTAAGAGTACAGAATGAAAAAAATGTTTTAATGGGACTTTCACCTCCTGTAAACAGCTCCACCTGTTCTCACAGCTAAGTGCCTCCGTCTGACATATATCAGAAAGAACCCCATTCCTGACAGGCCTCTTCTTAAAGGATTAGTCACCAGGTAAGAACACTAACTGAGGGCCCGTTCACAGATACTGCCGGACCTGCATTTTACTGCATCGGATCAACACAGGTCACTGCAAGGGCACGTAGAAAAAAATTGTGTTATGTGTCCCATTCACACCATAACGCAGGTGTGATGGGCAGTGCGGTGTGGAAAAATGCTGCTTTCTTATGCAGCACAATAAGAGCAAGACTGGAGCAGACAGAATCTGGAGCAGTTGCCCATAGCAACCAATCAGCTTCACTCTTTCATTTTCAAAGCTTAACTAAACAAACTGAAGAAAGAAGCTGATTAGTTACTATGGGCAACTGCTCCAGATTCTGTCTGATCCAGTCTTGACCTGAAGCATTCCAGGGATCCCAACCTGAAAGAAGCACTTTCAGGGAGGTGTCCCTCTCATTTCCGGGAGGTGCTCCCAGAATTCCCCCCTGGATGCCATCACAGGGTGCCTCATGGCAGTGCAGCATAGCACGCTGGTACACGGGGACCTGAATGGAGTGTGCACATTGTACACTTCACATAAAATTTTTAAAAAAGAAGTAAAAAATGTAAACAGTGACAGCTGGCAGGGTGTGATACAATGGCCCCTGCCTAAGCTGTCACAATGCACTCACAAGCCTGCTAAAATGCAGCATTTTAGCAGATGGGCTAGTGTGAATGGGCCCTGAATCTTACGTGGTAGAGGGGTTTGTCAGAATAGAAATACTTTTCTGAAGGGTTGGATTTACAAGTAGGAAAGGTGGCTTGTACTCAGAATTTGCACCAGTGTCCTGAAAGCCCAAGGTCACCGTGGATGTTTGATCCCAGTTATAATAAAGTGGCTGTAAACCCTAACTCAGTGACATTTGGTATGCTAAAGCACCGTGTGCCATGTTTTTAAATAAAACAGTTGTTTTACCCTTATATTTCATCCTTCATTGCAACTTTCTGCTGCTGATTTCCTGTAGCCTGTTTGCAGCAATGTCTTGTCTACACTCCAGTGATGGCTGTTCATGATTGCTCCAGAGTAGTGATAAGGCTGGGTTCTGTGCAAACCCAGTTCGCTGGAG